TACTACCAAAAACAAACATTGTTCTTTTAATTACATTAATTTTTATTTCAGGAGGTATTTGGAGACTTAACAATCAATGAAGGTGGTAGAATTTCTTTCTTTTATAAATACAACTTGCTTAAGCGTGCACACAGAGACAGGCATATGTACAAATTGAACATCGATGGAAAAGTGAGATTAATGAAACTGATAACTCCTATGCATCTTATAGAGCCTATAGAGATGTTGTGGCGTAGAAGTGGAGCTCTTGCCTCACAATCTGGAGGCTGTGAGTTTGATCCTAGGTAGAGGCAGATGTAGGGTCTCCTGCTTGGGCGGGAGGTTGGACTAGATGACCTGCAAGGTCCCTTCCAACTCTGTTAATCTGTTAAATCTTCCATGAAAATTAGCAGAAATTAGAATTGGCAATACTTTATAGGCAGGACTGAGGTGATGTTGAAAAAGGAAGTAGATGCCTCTTTCACCGTACAAATTAATCAGTCAGAACCAGAACACTCCTTCATTTATTCATTCAGAAAAATTATGCAAATCTACATATTTGTGTGTAGTGAAAGTATGTAAACCTCTAGGCTTCATTTGAAGGGGAAATTTAGAGTCAGGAGGCTGCTCTGGAGGAAGCAGTGGGCTAAAATTCTTCTTTAGCTACTGTCTAAGCGGGGAGGGGGGGGGCGGTCAAACCAGTTACTGAAAGCAAAGAGAGACATACTTTTGCCACACATAAATACATCACTCCGGATCGTTTTCCTCGATCAACCAGTGAATGTTTTTGACTCATTTGTTTAATTTGGTTTTCTTTATCTAGTTTTGGTACTTGCGTGGAGATGAAATAACATTTAGATCACATTTATGCAGAAATACTGAACATTCAAAAGGTTCACAAACTTTAAGCACCATTGTATTTGGTGCTTAAATTTCCATCTTCAGCATCCTAGTTATGCCTTATTAGTGCATTTTTGTCCTGATTTTGTCCACGAATCCAGAGCAATAATATAAAGAGGCCTCTGGAGGCCCAGATTATCCAGGGCAGAGGAGCCCCACTCTGTGACAGTTCACACTTCTCTTCTTAGCCCTAAAGCTCAGGCTCCAAAGGGAAGAGCACTTCTTCTAATGCAAAACCTTTTGGGGGGGTGGAATTTTGGGGGCATTACAAAATTCTCATAAGGAGAGTTGCCTAATCACAAAAGGTGTCATCCCCAATTGTCCTTTTATCTGAAACTATCTCCGCCTCCTCCGCCCAGGTCTGCTCTGCAGGGTGCTTTTTCCTCTTGCCTTTCCCAAGCACTGGCATGCCCCCTTTTCCTGAGGAATACCTGGGAGAATAAAGATACTGTGTTTACCTTCACTGCAATCCAGGTTTCTGAATACTGAACCCAGGGGGTCAGGGAGTTTGAAGGGAGAAGGCCTGTGGGGTCCCCATTACCTGCCCGGGTGCCTTGTATTCAAGGCAATTCAGGGCCATGGGTGATGCAAGGGGTTTTGTGTGGTCTCTGGGTCCTTGAAGCTTCCCAGGACAGGGTCACCTTGTACACTTTATGCAACACAAACTGCTTCCGGTGCATCGTTTGAGTCTTTTGGACAAAGACTGGAACAGAACTATCAGCTGCCCCTATTAAATCTTGATTTGCTTGCATGTGGTGCATAAAGAAAAGGCCATTTGGAAAGAATCAGAAGGCTAAGCTCTCACGGAGCTGTCTGAAACATATTTTCTCAGGGAGCATCTTGTTCTGTAAGATCCTTCAATATTTTGAAAAACTGGATTCTTTCATTTGTTCTATAGAACGGTGGTATGGGATTTTTCTTCTGCTTTTCTTTTACACTGGTGGATTTCTTATATATGATTTTCCACTCCAACTGGCTTTTTACCCATTATTTTAACAGCAGATAATGGAAGAAAACAACAAAAAATAATTTCAAAGAATATGCAGAATAATGGAAGAAGGAACTCTGTGTAATATTTGAACGGAAACGTTTTTCTTATTTTGCATAAGAAACTGAAGCTGAGCACAAATCAGTTAATCAAATCAAAACAAGCCTCAAATAATACCTGAGCAAGAAATGCTGGGCAGCAAAGAAGCCTTTAGTAAAGCTGGCCAGAGAGAGGGAGGCAAGTACTCCAGGGAGTATGGAAACAAGAGGCAGACGAAGCCCAGCACGGCAGCAGGCATTTCTCAGCACAATCCTGGCAAAGGGAGGCTTGTATGGCAGCTCTCAGGGGGACAATCTCTATAGGCTCAAGGACACATTTTGACTTTTGAGAGCCTTTTTATTATTTTTTTTCAAAATGCCAACAGTTTAGTTTAGTTTAGTTTAGTTTAGTTGATTTGTATACCGCCCTACTCCCGAAGGACTCAGGGCAGTGAACAGCCAAGCAATAAAATACATAAATACACAAAATTTAAAACCAGATAAAATCAAATTAAATCATTTTGGCCCAGACAGATTAAAACACCCCAATAATTTAAAAACAGATTAAAATTTACATATTAAAAGAGGGAGGAGATTAGGCCAAGCCCGCTTGATGGAATAAAAAAGTCTTCACAGCGCGGCGGAAGGTGCGCAGATCCGGAATCCTCCGTATCTCTGGGGGGAGCTCATTCCAAACGGTAGGTGCCCCCACAGAGAAGGCTCTCCCCCTAGGGGTCGCCAGCCGACACTGTTTGGCTGACGGCACCCGAAGGAGTCCCTCCCTATGAGAGCGTACTGGCCGGTGGGAGGCTATTGGTGGTAGTAGGCGGTCCCGTAGATAACCAGGTCCTAAGCCATGGAGCGCTTTGAAGGTGGTAACCAAAACCTTGAAGCGCACCCGGAAGACCACCGGGAGCCAGTGCAGCTTGCGCAGGAGAGGTGTCACATGGGAGCGCCATGTCGCTCCCATTATCACCCGCGCGGCCGCACTCTGCGCCAGTTGGAGCCTCCGGGTGCTCCTCAAGGGGAGCCCCATGTAGAGAGCATTACAATAGTCCAGGCGGGAGGTGACGAGGGCATGAGTGACCGTGCGTAACGAGTCCCGATCCAGAAAGGGACGCAACTGGCGAATCAGGCGAACCTGATAAAAAATCCTCCCGGTCACGGCCGTCAGGTGCTCTTCTAAAGACAGCCGTGAATCCAGGAGGACGCCCAAGTTGCGAGCCTTCTCTGTGGGGGCCAGTGATTTGCCCCCAATAGTCAGTGATGGCGTCAACTGACTATATCGGGACGTCGGAAACCACAGCCACTCGGTCTTGGATGGGTTGAGACTGAGCCTGTTCCTCCCCATCCAGATCCGTACGGCCTCCAGGCACCGGGACATCACTTCAAGGGCATCGTTGGGGTGATCCGGGGTGGAGATGTACAGCTGGGTGTCATCAGCGTACTGGTGGAACTCCACCCCGAAACCACGGATGATCTCGCCCAGCGGCTTCACATAAATGTTGAACAGGAGAGGCGAGAGGACCGACCCCTGTGGCACCCCACATATGAGGGGCCTCGGGGTCGACCTCTGTCCCCCTGTGAACACAGACTGCGACCGGTCAGAGAGAAAGGAGGAGAACCACCGCAACACAGTGCCTCCCACCCCTAACTCTTCTAACCGGTGCAGCATGATACCATGGTCGATGGTATCAAAAGCCGCTGAGAGATCTAACAGGACCAGAACAGAGGAGCACCCCCTGTCCCGAGCCCTCCAGAGATCATCAACCAACGCGACCAATGCCGTTTCGGTGCTGTACCCGGGCCTGAAGCCCGACTGGAACGGATCCAGATACGTCGTTTCATCCAGGTGCTGGGGGAGCTGTTGCGCGACCACATTCTCAACAACCTTCGCCACAAAACGAAGGTTGGAGACCGGACGATAATTTACCAACATTGCCGGGTCCAGGGAAGGCTTCTTGAGGAGAGGCCTCACCACCGCCTCTTTCAAGGCAGCAGGAAAGACACCCTCACCCAACGAAGCATTTATAATGCCCTGGAACCAGCCTCGTATCACCTCCCGAGAAGCCAGCACTAACCAGGAGGGACACGGGTCCAATAAACAAGTGGTCGCGTTCAGTCTACCCAGACTCCTGTCCACGTCCTCAGGGGTCACAGGATCAAACTCATCCCAGATAACATTCTCAAGACCTGCCCCAGTCCCTTCCCCTGAGACTATCCAGTCGGAGTCCAGATCTTCCCGAATCTGAGCGATTTTGTCATACAGATATTGAACAAAATCCTCGGCTCTACCCTCCAAGGGGTCCTCCCGCGCTTCCTGGTGGAGCAGGGAGCGGGTCACTCTAAACAGGGTGGCCGGGCAATTATCTGATGACGCAATAAGAGCAGCAAAATAGCTACATTTCGTTGCTTTTATCGCCACTAGGTAATTCCTAATATGAGATCTTACCAGTGTCCGGTCAGATTCAGAGCGACTGGCCCTCCAACTACTCTCTAGGCGTCTTTTCCGGCGCTTCAACTCCCTCAGCTCCTCAGTAAACCAAGGAGCTAAATGAGATCGGCGCCGGGTCAGAGGCCGCAAAGGCACGACCCGGTCCAGAGCTCCAGCGGCCGCCCTATCCCAGGCGGCCACTAGGTCTCCAGTCGAGGCATGTGCCTATCTGAAGCCAAGAAATATAAATAGGCAACAAATCCCTTGGTCCTTTCTTTGCATTTAAAAATGTTAAGTCTAATGTCAGCAGGAACCTGACGGATAGCAAGGAATGTATCCAGGCCACTTACCCTCGGTCAAGTTTCCTTGAGATAAATGCAATCCCTCATGGACCATTCCATGCAGTTTTTGTGGCAATAACAAAGCAGGGGGTTGGACTAGAAGACCTCCAAGGTCCCTTCAAACCTGATTATTCTATGTTCTTTGTTAGCTATCACCTTCCTCCATGAAGTTTTTTCAATCTCCAGTCTAGCCTTCAGCTCTAAGATTGCCAGGAAGTCTCCTCTCTGACTGCCTCCACCACCTGAGACCCCCCCCTCCCTTGGCTTGACATCTTCAGATCCTGATAGGGCTGAATGGGGGTACCCAAAGTGCCTCTTACCTGGCAAGGCTTTTGCCCATTTCACCACGTGTACCAGGTGCCTCTCTCCAAGTTCATTCAAACTGGTGAGAAGGGAGCCAAAGGAGTCGGGCTGGTTATTGTCATGCCCTGCGCAAACCACGCCGGGCTCGATCGCTTCCAGGACATTGAGGAAGATAGGCTGGCATTCCAGGCCATCAATGTGTGCCATGGGCATTTTCGTGGCTTGCTCCTCAGTGGGGCTCGATGGCCCTGCAGCCTCCCCTTCTTCTTGCAACTTCAGGTTACCCAATTTCTTTAACTTGCGGGCTGGAAGGAAAAAAAGGGTTTCTAAGAAAACTTTCCATGACAGGTTGACAGTTTATACGATGAGTGGGCGTATCATCAAAAGAGGAAAAGCTTATGGACGCTTCTGTCGTATAACGAAACCTTATGGACCTGCTGCTCTTGGGCACCACTGCTGCTACTCTGGGGGGAGCCACCAGAATGCCAATGGGGCCCTCTGGATTCCTCCGGCCAGCAGCCCAGGCAGAGAAGTAGCATGACAGAATCTTAAGGCAGCCAGGCAGCCGTGTAAACATAATGCGAAATAACTTGGTAAGATTTTCACTAACACTGAGAGTCCCAATCTTCTCACGCAAGGTTTCATAGTGCAGGCTTGCACCGATTTATAAGGAATATTTTTAGTGTTTTCAAAAATTAACGTGTTAGGATTTGAGCAAGCCATTTGGGAATGATAAAACGTCATGATAGTGGTGGCTGCCCCTAAAATGCTGCTGTTGTGTTTGTCGCAGTCGGTGTGACAAGATGGAATTATGTTCCTCTGAATGTTTCTTGGTATTCAATACTGACTGCTGATGTTCACCATTACAATTATATGGAATTTCCCCCAAAGCCCAGAGCAGCAGTATAGTGTGAATCTACGGCTGCAGGAATGTAACAGGGAATTTTCCATCATTATGCTTTTATATTTCTGAACAACTAGAGTTCTGGTCACTGTTCTTGCAAACAAAAGAGCATAATGTATAAATTTTTGATCTGATCCTAGAAGACTAGATATGTTCTCTACAAAGTAAAGGGTGGCCCTTATTTTATGTGGCCGGGGTCTCTATGCTCAAGGGCAAAATGGAGCAATAATCTTTGATGACCTACCCTGCCCCAAAATCTTGTCAGATGTCTTAGGAGAATTCTCATTAATTCTGGAAGCCTATGTCATTTTTAAAAATTAAATGATGTATTTTAAAAGGTTAATTTTAATTTTAAAAGCCACTTGGAGGCTGTGAATTCTATTGCTGCTCCCCGCCACAATGGAAACCACCAAGATTGGGCAAAAAGGGAGGCTCAGCTATTGCAGCAGCACAGAGGGGGCCTTGTTTCCCTTCTCCCCCCTTTCCCCTTTCCCCTTCCCCATCCCCACTCAGTACAGATCAGCTCTCCATTTCATACTATAGTTTATACTGAAGTCTAGTAATATTTCCTAATATTCAAATGGGATGAGAGGTAACTTAGATCCATTATTCCCATCTTTGGGTCTGACAATCTGCTCTTTTCAAAACTAAACACTCTTTCTCTTTGGAGGCTGACTTTTTGGTTGCGCCTCAGATAACCTTTGCTGCCCTTCTCTAATCTGTCTGAATTGGTCATGTTACCTTCGCTATCATGCAATTTATTAATTTTTTTCCCTAATATTCAAATAGGGTTGCCTTTAAAAAAAAAGAGAGAGGGGGGGAGCCATATCTCCCTAGACAACCAGGAAGCTCTTCTGGCTTTATGGCTTGTCTTCTGTTTTGCCTTTTCGCTGAATTGCTTGCCCTTCTGGGTTTCCTTTAGGCTGCTGACTGCCAGGCTGTGGGACCCAAATGGGTACTGTAGAACTGGCTGTGGGCCGGTTCAAGCTCCACTGGTTTTGCAGAAGTGCTACATTTCAAGGGTTCTGAAAGGGCCCTCAAATTCTTGACTCCCTAAATCAGAGATGGGGAACAACGCCCCCTTTATGACTTGTGGCTGGTTCAGAAATTCTGGGAGTTGAAGCCCACAAGTCCTAAAAGGGCCATCATTCCCCACCCCTGCCCTAAATGACACATGAATTTGTCTGGCCCACGAACAATGCAAATGATTTTACTTGTGCTAGTGGCACAATATAAACACACCACCTTTCATCATTAAGCATGTCAAACAAACAAACAAACAAACCTAGTGACAGAACCTTGTAGCTTTTAAAAAAAATACAAACAGAATTCAACATTTAAACTATATTTTTAAGGGGAGGAATGAGCTTGCCTAGTTTTGCACAATTCCTGAAACTCAGGTTCCCTGGCCCAGTCCACATTCCCCCTTTGTTCTGGGTGGACTTTCCCTCTTCAACACAGAAAGAATGGCAGACCTCAGCTGGCTCAGGCCAAGGAGGGAGCTCTGACTGCCACCCAGCTTTGCAGGTGCATCTCGCAGGCCCAACCACAGCTTGTCCACCTGACCTGGGAGAAGGGGCCACAATTTTAAAAATCCTGCCCTACAGAGTTAAGAAAAAGAAAGACGTTTCTCTATGTCCTTGTAGTAATTTTGCTGCTTAAATCCAGCTAGAAATGGTGGCGCTGTATATCTATCTATCTGTCTATCTATCTATCACAGGAGGCCAGCGCTGCCAAACCTGCACCTTGCCTGAGCTCAGCGACTGAACAGGTTGCGGAGTCCTGAATGTTCTGCAGGGCCAAAGAGCTGCACTGCCAGGGAGATTTAAGCCAATCCAAGCAACCTTCAGACCTTGGCATCACATTACACAGATATGAATAAAACCCCAGGAAGTCTGTGATTATGACTTTTCTAATTCTCCGAAATGGACTGTTTGTAGCCTTTATTTATTTATTTTCCACTGTTTGCTTTAATAATTGGCTTGCTCACAACCATAAAGTCTACAGAGCCAGATTTTGTCATTCTAGACAATAAAATGCTTTTATATCTCCCTGAAGCTCTACCACCCCCTTCTCAAAAGCCAGCTTGAAAGAAAATAAAATAATTAATTAGAAATAATGGAGAAGAGATAGAGAAAAATCCTGATTGCTTCACTTCAGCAAGAGAAGCATAAAACCGTATCTGTTTTCCTGTAGGATCTGGCTCCCTACATTAAATGATACTTATCTGAAACTTCCTCAGGTCATAATTTAAAAAATAAGCCTCCAAACATAAAAATGTCAAATCAAAGAGCATCTCAATAAATCATTTCAAAAGCTGATCTTTAATTATACGTTTTGGATGATCTACAGTAAGAGCAATTAAGGGAGGTTGCTCTGCAAAAATGGGAACATGGCAATAAAAAATAAAAGTGAGCAACCTTTGAAAAACAAGAGCAAAAGGCAGCATGACATCCATGCCATTATTTATGCAGGTTGGGATGGTGACAAGGAGATGGCTGAACATGATCTGACCGTGTCTCGCAACGTTCTGATAAGCTTTCCCAAGAACATGGCTGCCCTCCTCTCTTAACCTTGAGGCAGTTTTGCTTCAAGCTCCACGGTTAGCACATCATGGCCTATCTGAGCTCCAAAGACACCACAGGCCCTCTGTTTTGACTACATGGAGTGGTCGCCCACAAGGGAGGCAAGGAAGATGCCGAGCATCTGGAAAGATAGAACCTTCCAGAGTTGCCTGCATGGCCGCTTCTGAGAGAAGCTGCAACTTCAGTCAATGTTTAGACCTTGGAGCGGCCTTGCCCTATTTCTCATGACCTCCATGGTTTCAACTGCAACTCCAGGGCTTTCCAACTAATGGGACCCCTGCAAATGTTGGGAGGTATTCAGTTAGTAATCATTGTGCCTTGGATAAACCTCAGTAGCCACAACGCTGCCACTGCGCAAAGCATTTATTTAATGTTTTTACTGGACATGGTTTTTCCTTGAAGACATTTTGCTTCTCATCCAAGAAGCTTTTTCAGTTCTGAGAATCTCCATAGTCGCCACCAGTAATGGAGCATCCACAATTTCTGGAGGCAGCCGTTCCACTGATTAATTGTTCTCAATGTCAGGAAATATCTCCTTTATTTATGTTGAATCTCTCTTTGATAAGTTTCCATCCATTACTTCTTGTCCTGCCTTCAGGGGCTTTGGAGAATAGGTTGACCTCCTCTTCTATGTGACAGCCTCTCAAGTATTACTGAAAGACTGTGATCATGTTATTCCTCCTCCTCTTTGTTAAATGAGACATAACTAGTTCCTTGACCCGTTCATCATACTATTTAGTCTCCAGACTGCTAATCATCTTTGTTGTTCTTCTCTGCACTCTTTCCAGAGTCTCAACATTTTTGTATCATGGTGACTAGAAATGGATGCAGTATTCCAAGTACGGTCTTAGCAGCACAGTATAAAGTGGTCCTAACATGTCACGTGACTGTGAGGGTATCCCTCTGTTGATGCAGCTCAGGACTGCATTCGCTTTTTTGGCAGTTGCAGCAGACTGCCGTAGCAGTGGGTCTCAACCTCAGCAAGCTTAAGATGTGCAGGCTGCCAGCATGCTGGCAAGGGAATTCTGGGAGCTGAATTCTCTTGCCAGCAATATCTTAAAGTTGCTGAGGTTTTGAAAAAGCACCGCTCTGGAAGTAGTGAATGCCCCATTAGGAAACTTGCAGGTCCAGCTTGTTTCCTCTAATACACAAGAGGTCAGTTAGTGGAAGCCTAGAGAAAACCTTCCAGAGTTTGGACAAACAGATTGCTATATCCATTCTAGCCCCTCCCCGTCCCATCAGCCCAGCTGTTCCAAAATGACAGATGCTGCTTTTTGGGGAACAAGTCCTGGTTTCCCGCTGATAATGATTGTAGCTTTGATTGTGGATGGGAAAAGACAAGATGCCTGGCTTCCTCAAGAGGAGAAGGTTGTTAAACTTAAACTGATGGATCAGCTCAACCACACAACCACAGAAAGGTGTGTGCGTGTGTGCAAGTGGGAGGGAGGGAGGGAGAGAATACGCCATATTGGGCACTGAATGTTTGGGTTATTAGTAGAAACATTGGTAGGGGGAAGTGACCACTGGCACCGGTCACATGCTCCCCCCCCATCTGCCCATGGAAGTACAAAACATGCTTCAGGCTGAAAAACCAGGGTAGCCTGGTATGTTCCCATTTGCCCTGCACATTGCCCAATGCAGCTGGGAACTGGGTCAGCCGTGCCTTGGGCAGAGGAGTAGGGCAGGTCAGGAATGAGGAAGGCTTGCGAAATCCTTACTTGACTCCTAAGCCCAGCTGAAAGAGAGCCTTTGGGGCTGAGGCCTGCGAAGTAAATAGGCAGGCACCATGGCTATACAAATGCAACGTGGTTCCTAT